GAATCGAATGGTAGTTGTTTTATACGAATTGGAGCGATATTGACCGAGATCGTACATCATTTGTTTTTTTTTTATTTTTTCTATATAAAAATCATGTGATATGATGTCATTTCAACTTCATGTATAGTCTAGACATAGCGAAAAGAATTCAAGTGGACAAACTCCTGCGTAATTATATATTGATTGAACTTTAATCATGTTTAATACAATGATATATATCGTTTAATTGATAATAATAAATTTCTACATCGGAAATAAATTAATTAATCTGAAGAACAAGTATAAATGGAAAATATATATCATTTTAAATGTCTTTTCTTAAAACATTTAATTGATTTGTACGGTATATTGACGTATTATTTTAATTAATGTGATTGAAAAAAAATAATAATCGGAAAATATATCATTTCAAATGTTGAGATGTATTATAATTTAATTAATGTGATCAAAAAAAAATAAAAAATAACAAAAAATAGTAAATAAATTGTTTTAAATGTCTTTTCTTAATTAATATAATTAATTGATTTGTACAGTATCATTTTAATTAATGTGATCAAAAAAAAATCATAATAAGAAAAATATTTGTTTCAAATGATTTTTTCTTAATATAATAATTTGATATGTATTATCATATTAATTAATGTGATCAAAAAAAAAAATTTAATAATCTTCTTAAACAAGATTTGAATCATAATAAAAGAACTTATAAAGGTATTATTTGAGAATGTATAAATATACATAATATGATTCAATAAATTTGTTCAAAAATATCTTTCACTGTCTTCACTGTCTTCTCTTCTCTCTCTTTTCCAAAGACAAATCAAAATATAGCTGAAATGGTTTGGATCTTTGACGCAATAGAAGATTTAATAAATCTTCATAATGAATATCACGAAGAATTTGAAAATGCTTTGAATACCGAGCATGCGGCTATCTGGGATGGAATTGCAATAGAAATAAATAATCATCATCCAGCTCAAGTTACTGGCAGACAATACTAAGTTAAATGGGCTGCGCTGATTCGCAGTGTCACTGGGAATATTTCTCTTTGTATCACATATATTTTGCTAAATTACTCTGCTGCGATAAGTAAATTCCTTATTGTCGAACTTTACAACCTTAAGGAATCTTACGTCCTACAGGTATCCGGAATGCCTTAAAATTACTTCACTTGACTTCACGAACTTAAAGATTTAGGAACTTAGAAAAAACGTAGAGAATTTATTTATTCTTAGTGACAAACTCAATCGCAAGTTAGTGTAATGGTTCACAATCAAATCCTAGATGATGGACACGTAGAAGGGAAAAGTAATTATTTTTCAAAGTGGATTCCTTTATTTATTACTTGAACTTGTAATAAAACTAAAACTCACAAATGAGTTAATTTACAATTTGAGCAAAAAGCTATTCTATTTATACAAAATTAATTTGCTACAGCTAACTAATTGCTACGCTATAAACTAACTAAATTTGTAACTTCAAGTGCTAATATAATAATAATAATAAAGATAATAATTATAATAAAAATAAAAATAATAATAATAATAATAAAAATAACGATAATAATTAAAATAATAAAATTATAGAAAATTAGAAAAATCTAATAAATCATGATAATCCTGTGGATCCAGTAAATCCTAAGAATTCCAAGAATTTTATGAATTAGGAAAATCAGAAATTATGCCGATCATCTAATTTTATGATCTATCTAAAATTAATTCCAGTAACTTCTGCAGATCGTTTGATAATTCTTTGTAGATCAACTTTTTAATATTGAATTTTTAGCCAATAACAGCGGTTATAAAAACTCTAGAAGAATAAGGGTTAGAAATCCTGAAGGATTTCCAATAAGAAGACCAAATCGATTCAATGTGGCATTTTACCATTTGATGAGGGATGAATTTTGGTTGCCTCAAGGTATTAATGATAGTCTATTTTAAATTTATTGTTTGTTTTAAATAAATATATATTTATATTAATTTTACTTTTAGATGAAATAAGACGCGCATATTTGAGACAACGAATAGACAGACGGCGATTTGAATTTAGAGAATACAGGTATTCTCAAGATTGATCAAAAAGCAGAGCTAGAGAACGCAGGCGTTCTCAGGATTGATCAAGAAGTAGGGATCGATTCCAAGGGAGGGATAGAAGAAGGAGAAGGAGAAGTTAAAATTTTATTTTTTTATTATACCATTTTTCTTTTTCGTTTTAATATTTTATTTTTTTCTTTTTAGTTTTATTTTTTTATTATTTTTATTTTATATATTTTTTTTTATTTTTAGTTTTAGTATTTTATTTTTATTTTATATATATTTTTCTTTAAATTAGAGTAGCGAGACCCAATTCGTACCAAATATTGGCTAGAGACTCATTATTTTGGGCTGTGAATTGGTACTGACATTCTCGTCATATAGCTTGGATACTATTTTTAAAAACAAATAATAGCAAACAAGTATCAACTTTAAAAATAAAAAATAAAAAATAATTAAATCTTATGTCATAAATTATTTGTTGATTTGTTTAATGATAATACTCTTAATGTCAATTACATTATAATACATTTAGCTATTAACTTTTTATAGAAAAATTCTTTTTTAATTTATTTTAATAAAATTTAATTTACAATAAAATATTTTGATTACGTAAAAATTTTTTATTTATATTTATATCACGTGAAATAATAAATATTTAATAAACATATTTTAAATTTTATTGGAGAAAAAAAAAAAATTTATTTTAAATTATTTGCATGTACTGAACTAAAAACATACTGATAATTATGCTGGAGTTACTCCACTGATTCGCTTAACTCTTGAATTTTAATTTGATCTTCTTGGCGACCTTTTTCTTGAAGTATACGCAATTCTTCTTTAAGCTATCGATATGATCTTTGAAGATAATGTAATCTATTTTTTTTGATGATTTGAAAGAGAAGAAAGTTTAGTTAATTCTTGCTTTAAATGATCATATTCAAAGAAAGCTTAGCAGTTTCATTTAAAGAAAAAGAAAGTTGTTCTCTTAATAATGAATTCTCCTGATGTAAACTCTCTTTCCAACAAGAATCTACAGTCAAATAGAAAAATGGCTGAACATTAGAATTGTGAAGTTAAGCATCTTATTATGACCAGCATATACTAGTTCACTAAAGGTTAGCTTAATGATCCCAATGATGTTCCAAATCCTACATATTAATACAGACCAACAGAAGCTATAATAACCAGTTCTAAGCAAGTAAAGACTTACATTATGAGAACCTATAGTATGATATAAGAAAAGAAGCAAAAGTGTTAGTATACTGCAGTTAAACTAAGTGAAGTCAAACATACTGTTACATTCCTTCAGAAGATGCATGAATTACATATTTTGTCAAGCTCAGGCAAAGCTTGTGCTGAGATGCATTTTATATACCTAGTTACTTAGTCTATCTTATCTTCAAAAACTCTTTCATTATTATGTTCTCTTTAACGAATTAAAGTTCTACGACGAGTAGAGGATGATTTCTTTTTATTTATACGGACTATTCTGTTAAAATTTAAAGTCTAAAAATTTACAATAATATTGTTAGTAAAAAAAATTTAAGAAAAAAAGGAGAAATTTAAAAAGGTATTTTTATATTCAAAAAATCATTATGAGAAAACTTTAAAAGTCATGAGAAAATTTTCTTTAACAGAAAATAAATAAAGAACTATTGTTATATATTAGTTGATAATGATTATCAAACAAGAAATTTGTAGAACAACATGATAATGATTAAAGTACTTTAATAATCTTGTTTATGAATTAATAAACATGATAATTAAATAGAAGGAAGTATAATAAATCTTAGAATCATCACAAATGTAATGTTCAAACTTAATTTGATATATACACATTCAAAGTATAAGAAAAAAAATTTTTTTATTTTATGTAAAATTTATATGTTATTTCAAATACTTTAATAATTCTGTATACATTAATTTTTTAAAAATTATAAAAAAATAATCATTTTAAAGTATGTAAAAATTTTTATGGATCGATAAATATGAAATATATAGTTAATGACTTATTTTTGTAACTTTATTATATGGTATATTTAATGATTATATAATTAATAAATCATAAAGTAATTCATTATTTTAGTTAAAGTATATTTTTATTTAATATTTAAAAAAACTATTGTTAAGATCTATAAGAAATAGAAAATTAGCATCTAAAAATGAAAAAGAGAAAAATTCAAAGCCAAGTTTATTTATTAAATACTTTCTTTTGGGGAAATTAAATAATCCTCAATTGAATAAAAAGGAGGATAATCAGCTGGAAGATTATCTATTTTCTCTAATATTTTCTCAACTCAGAATCAACATGATTTTGAAACCTAAAAAAAAGTTTGAGTGAATAGATAATTTGGTAGCAAACTTATTAATTATAAAAACTAAGTATATCTACAACTATTTGAATTACTGCTAATATGCAAAACCAAAGTGAAAATATACGTCAGTACTATGACATGCCACCTATACTACGTGAAAATACATGTTAAGTGATAAATATGCTACTTATAAATATTGGAATCGCATATTACTACAAAGTAAATTAGATATCTATTAGAATAGATATACCTCTTTTTATAATGTTTTATTCTTCTTTGTAATTTTATCTTTTGACGAACGTTTTTAGATTGACGAAAGTTGACGCATATCATCTTTTATTAAAGTTTAGAAAATTTTGGATTCTAAAAATATAAGATATTTAAAGAATTTTAAATCCACAGCATGTTTGTGAGAAAATTTTTGTGTTTTAGGAGTGAACATAAAGAAAACAAATCTTCTACATCAATTAAAGATGCCAGCCGAAACTCTCTCAAAATAATTTCGTCATATCTCTTACTATGTTTTTAATATAGTTTCAGCTAATTTTGGGTTTTGGGATTTCATCGTACCCCTCACTATGTTTTAATATAGTTTTGGCTGTTTATTAATTGCCTTTTTTGAGTTTCGTCCCTCATATTTAACATCAACAGAAAGGAAAATTTCTTCAATTGGAAATATCTTATCATCAAGAATGCATTGAAAATTATTTGTGTCAGTGAAATTAGATCTAACAAATCAGTCACCAATTAATATTTAAGGGGTCAACTAATCATGCACATTTCACTAATAAATCTTATTTATGGATCAATAAATATCACAAATGTAATATTTAAGCTTAATTTAGTATTTGCACATTTAAAATACAAAAAAAAAATTTTTGATTTGTATAATCTATTTATCAAAGATTTTTTTTCAAGTTAAGTTACTTGTATATTATAATACTTTTGCTTTTATATTCATTCTTTACTTATATATTATACATAAAAAATTTTAATATTACTTGCATCAAAAAATTCAATTGAATGTATAATATTGTTATTTTAGTTATTTTTATTTATTGTTATTTTTTTATTTTACATAAAATTTATACGTTATCTTAAATTCCTTAATTATTTCCTATATATATTAGATTTTAAAAAATAAATCATTTTAAATGATATAAAAAATTTTCTTCTGCAAGTATCTATTAGTTGATGATAGTATTTCACAAAAAATCTGATTCAATTCAAATCTATTTCAGATTTGATAGATCAGATCAAATCGGATTTATCAGATTCGAATCAGATTCAGATCCAGATTTTTATTTGATTGAATCAATCAGATTTAGATTAGATTCAGATTTGAATCTGATTCAATCTGACAGATTCAGATTTAGATTCAGATTCGATCTGTCAGATCCTGATTTGGATTCAAATCTGATGTGTTAGATTTGAAATAAAAAATGCCACCTGAAAGTTGAACACAGCATTTATTATTAAAAAATTAATAAAAATTAATTTTTAATAACAAAATGCCATCTCGGAAGTCAAAGTGACATTTATTAATAAAAAACTAATAAAAATTAATTTTTAATAACAAAATGCCGTCCTGAAAGTCAGAGACAGCATTTATTATTTATTATTAAAAAAATTAATGTTGAATAATAAAAT